TTTACGGATTAAACCCAGAGGCGGGACTTAGCTGCCATGGGGTCAAAGGTCAGTCGGGGTGATTCTGCTCGTTTTCTACAACGTGGCCCCGACCTCGATCATTTTACCGCCCGAGGTATCAGATCGCCGAGGCGTCATCGTGACGAGAAGGATGGATGAGAATAAAAACAGCCGGAGCGCTTCGGCCTCCCTGCTTCGGTTTCAACATCAGCCGCGGTTCTCCACGCGTCCGTAGCCGGGCTTCGCCAACGTGACACCACGCGTGTGTGTTTGTGCCTTTGGGAAAATCAAAAAATGCCATTTGTCTCTTTTAAATGAAGCCAACTCAACCGTTCAGTAACATGCATCCCTCATAAAGTGCACAAACCCCCCTGAGGTCCACTCACAGTACCTGAGCACCAGCGTTTAGAACACCATTAACTCAAACTGCAGCAGTGGAGGAGACCTTCGCGGTACCACCAGACTCCTCCATCGTGACGAGCATTAAACGATGGCGACACGTTCCCGTAGAGGCCGTCCGCCCTGATGCCGTGCAGGAGGATGATCCGCTGTATGAACCCTCCTCAGCTTCAACGCAGAGGTAAAGGCCCGCTTACAAACCCGCCCAAAAGAGGAATAAGAACAGAACGCGACCATGCAGAAGTTTGCAGTATTTTATTCACAATACAACATCGATACACGTCACATGTTTTAACTGAGAAAATGCATCGTTTTGAGGGAAATTTTTTTAAATTTGTATCCGTTCTGCCACAGTTTGCCACGTGGGCCACAGGTCCATCTAAAGGAGCCCCGGGCCAGAGAAGAGGCCCGTGGCTTTCCGTGTATTCTGAAGCCCAGAAGCATTCTCGGTAGGAGCTGCGGGGCCTCTGAGGGCTCCCGCGGGGCCTTCACCCGTCACGCACGAGATCGTTCAGACTAACTTATGCCCCTTGAATCTGAAACTTCCAACTGAAATTTCCTTCGCTCCATTATTTTCCACCCGCGGCTTGGGGGGGGGGGG